CTTGAGAGAGTGAGGGAACAAGCACAGTGAATCCAGTTTTGGGCCACTTCACTTGCAGGTCCTGTGTGAGGTAACCAGCTTCTTTCTCTGGGGTGAGGGAGTCTTTGGCACTGTTGCTTTTGCTGCTAGCCACACTGAAGCCAGTCCACAGGCACTACTGGCTCTCCAACTTCAAATCTCCAAGGAAATCCAGAGAGAAGTCTTGACAAACCTCATGCTATCCATAATCTTTCTATGCACTATTCATGACTCAGGAACCAAATGGGGTTGGATAAAATAGTTATCCTTGTCATTGAACTTCCTGTCTGAACTCACTTTCCAAAGTAAAGAGCTAAATAGGTTTGGTTAGTGAGGATGCTTGCTGCCATTTTATCTGGCCATTTTGTTCTTCCCAGGGCAGTGTGAGGACCGGTTGATGTACAGTGTGTGGAAGTCTGGACCTGAGCCAGGCAATATCCATCTAGAGGATAAGGATGTGGACAGGGAAGCCACACCACTTTGCAGCAAGAAAGGCAGAAAAACCAACTCTGACTTCACCAGCTGACCGTTCCATCGGATTCAGAGTTGCCTTGTCTACAGAAATAGGGCACTGATTAGATGAAAACACCATTTTCCTTCCTGCTTGCCGGCAGCTTACAAGCAGAATCGAGGGAGGGGATCCAACCCCCACCCAGCCAGAGCCCTGTGGTCCTGACGATCCAGAACATTACCATGGGAAGCCCTTTATCTTGCACAGCTAGCTGCTCAAACCCTTCCCTTGCATCCAGCACATTCACTGGGGTTGCCCTCGAAGGATTAATTAAAAGGACAAGTATCTTCCTAAAAAGCAGAAGAAACTTATAATGAATTTAAAGAGAGAAAAATCCTCATTTAAGCAACATGTTTTTTTTCCCCATGAACCCAACCTGAGCACTCAGGAAAGTGCAAAACATGCATAATTGAGAAGCTTTTTAGATGAGCGACTTTTAAATTAATTGACTGTGATGAACAGACAGGGCCAGGGATCTCATTCGCCAACCACCCTGGAGCCTGGGTTCCTGCCACAGCAGGGCTGGGTGCCTCTGCTTCTTGCTGGAGAGGTGGGAAGGGAGGACAGGGGTCCGTCTTGAGATCACAGCCTACCGGGAGTTCTTAGACCTGCCTTTGATTTAGGAAGCCAAAGGCATGCTAGGTGATAGAGGGGAGTGAGGGGCCACCCTCCTGTTTCATTCTGGTCCCTATATGGTGACAGGTGATTGGAAGCTTTAGCTCCATCTGATAGAAAGAGATGGAACTGATTCCCATGGCTCTATCACCTGCCCTATGCCCTATCTTGGGGGAGGGTTACCTTCCTGCATGCCGGCAGCTTACAAGCAGAAGCGAGGGAGGGGATCCAACCTCCCACCCAGCCAGGGCCCTGTGGTCCTGACGATCCAGAATATTACCATTCTTCAGAGCCAGGAAGGAGGTACAGCCCTACCATGAGCCAGCTCAGCTGAGCATGGGCAGCCACTAGCCATGGGATTTCTGATTTCACCCTCCACTAGCTGCAGACTATGACAGACACTGGCCCAGCAAGGGCCAGGCCAGCCACAGGGGAAGGCTTGATGTAGGAGCCCCCTACACCCGATCTCAAAAACTCTTAAATACAAGTCACTTCTGTAGGAAAAAGACCCCCAAACCATCAACCTTTAAAAGAACAATCAAGCCTGCTTCAAAAGGTTATAGGGGATGGGCATGGTGGCACATGCCTATAATTCTAGTGGCTTAGGAGGCGAGGCAGGAGGATCACAAGTTCAAAGCCAGCCTCAGCACTTAGCAAGATCCTGTCTCAAAATAAAAAATAGAAAGGGCTGGGATGTGGCTCAGTAGTTAAGTGCTCCTGGGTTCAATCTTTGGTACCAAAAACCAAAGGGGGTGGGGCGCTATAGGACTGGAGTCACCTTGAAGAATCCATTTTGGGTGCTTTGCACCCAAGGATGCTATAAAAATAGTGACTAGAAAATCAAATTCCAAACTTTTAACTGCTGCCAGACTATCAGCTCTAGTTCTTAAAATTGAATCCAAAATGTTGCTGACATGTCTGAGATATGACTTTTTTTTTTTTTTTTGATTTTAGTGAGATTCCTGTAATGCCCATCGATTGCTGGGTAATAAGTTGTACCTGTATGTCTCATTTACCTATGTAAAATTCACCGAACCATAAATCTACTATGGGAATTCAGTTTAGCATTCCTGTGACATTGAAAAACCATTGATCCTCGTGTACTCTAAGTGGCTGCATGTCAAGCCCATGTGCTCCAAGTGCCTGCGGGTCAAGCCTTTATAGCTGGGGTAACTCATTTTGTGGCTTCCTTAATGGTCGTGAGTTTTCATTTTATTGCATATCTATTATTTGGGTTGGGCTGTGATGAATGGTTTGTCTTCCTGGCTCAAAACAAGTCCAAGGAGACAGCGGTATCTAATTTGCTTTAAAATGATGATTATAAAGCTTTTCAAATAATCATCCAGGAATGAAGGGAGCAGATGCCACATTGCCCTGCCTGAGACATATGGCTGGAGGTGAGGGGATGATGTACCCCATTTTTAGGTTGACTTGTGATTATAATGACCTTCATTAGGGAATCCCGGGGAGGCCTTCTTTCATCCTAGGCAGTAGGGATGCTTCCGTTTCCCCCAGAGAAAAACCAGGAGCTTGCTGTGTGTTTCTAGATCCATCCCTGGGATGAGGCCTATGAAATAGAGGCTGTTGTACCAAGTAGGATGGTGCCCAAGCAGAGCCATTCTCTGCTTCATGATGCCATTTGGGGACATATAAATAGAGATAACTGGTGTATCCTCTAAATTCCTCAACTTCTGCCTGGGATTCTAGCCCTTCCTTCCTTCCTTCCTTCCTTCCGATTGAACCTGGGGTGCTTAACCACTGAGCCACACCTCCAACCACCAACCCCTCCCACCTTTTTAAAAAATTTTGAGACAGGGTATTTCTAAGTTACTTAGGGCCTCACTAAATTGCTGAGGTTGGCTTGGAGCTCGTGATCCTCCTGCCTTAGTTTCCCGAGCTGCTGAGATTGCAGGTATATGCCACTGTCCCTAGCTGGGGCTCCGGCTTCTATTACACAGTAACCTTTTCCTTTACTGCTCTTTTGGCAGAGGGGTCTGAGCCCAGAAATGAATTTCTGTGCCCAGAAAACATGCTACTTCTGTTCTGACTTGGACAACCGCTATTGTTGTCATCTGCCCTAATTGCACTACCCTATTGTCTATGTTTTTTTGGGGGGGTAGAATCATCAAGGATCTCAGTCAGGGGAAGTGGATGGAGAAAGTCATGCAGGAAGCCATTGCTGAGGACAGGAGGGAGGGCCCATTTAGTGATAGGCAGGTGGCTGCTTAGCAACTGGCTGTCAGAGAAAACAAAAGCATCCCTCCCCCAGTTTTGGGGTAGCATCTGTGGGGTATAAATTTCTGTGGAGAGTCCCACCGTGGCTGATTTGAAGCTATTGAGTATTCAACAGTTTGCTTGAAAAATTCCTGATAATTTTAACAATCAACTCTTATGAAACCAGGTCTAAGGAAACATTCTAAAATTTAGAGACTTCTTTTTGAGAATAAGCTCCTTGGTCCACAGAACAGATACCTTCCACAGCAGGAGAAGTCTCCCAGTTATTCCCATCTTAATAGGAACTAATCGAAGCAGAATAAGTTTTACTAGAGGGCGGAGAGGAGGAAGATGGAGACCAAGCCTAGTCACATTGTATCAAGCAAAGCCCTGCAATTCAGGGTCAAACATTAGGCCCTTGGTACTAAGGATGCTGTGAACTGCAAAACTCTCCCTCCCCTCCACATCAATCACATGGGCATTTCCCTTCAGGAAGAATCATACTCGTTTCTCTCCCTTATGTCATCCAAGTACCTCTTCCATCTGCCACAAGAGCCCTTCTTGCCATTGAATCGCACAAACTCCTTCTCAGGCCTTGAGAATATTTGCAATAACGACAGCTCAAAGAAATATCAATGTGAAGCAGGAATACCTTTCTGAAAATGAAACTCCAGCTAAGGGCTGAGGGAGGATTCCAGATTCTGTGGCTCAGGGTACTCAGTGCCCTGGTGGGGGACTCACGCCCATGATCCCAAGGCCAGAGCCTGCAGATAGGCACTATGAGCCTGCAGGTCACACCCAAGGGCACATAATGAAAGGTGCTCACAAGACCTGCTCTAAATAGAGCCTGAGTGCCCTCAAATACAAAGGGGTTTCATCTCTTCATCTCTCTGGGGCTAAGAATGTCCCTTTATTCCCAGTTTGGGCCCAGCACCACCCTTCCCTTCCTTGCTGTCTGGGGATAACTCTTGCAGCTCATAGCTCTGGGATGTCCCAGCTCTGCCTATGTCCCAGTAGTTAACATGATGTAATCTCTTGGAAGCTCACCTCAGGCAAAGTCACAGGTCCTTGAGATAGCCCATCCTCACACAGGTGTTAAGCATAAGGGTCCCTGTACATGGGCCACCCAGATACTTCCTCCACAGCCACAAGAGCACCTATTTTCCATGTTTCTCCAGGGATCCTGTGCCTTTCTTCAACTTGGACCTTTACTCTCTATTGTCCTTGGGTGGTGACTGTTTCCTGGCCCTGCTTGGCCAGGCCTCCAGCTCTCCTGCAGGATTTTCCTCCAGGCATTGATCCCCAGTAGGGCCAGGCTTCAGCCCAAAGATAGACCTGACATCTGTTCCCTCCATGTGTAGTCACAGAATTCCCCTCACAGCTCTGCTTCAGTCACACTCAGTGAGAAAAACCGTTACCCAAAAGGAACAGGGGTGAGCCCACTCTGTTTTCACCCATTCACCTTTAATCCTTTTCTTATAGCTCAGGCTTGTTGCAAAACAAACTCAACACTTCCACCACTCAAAGAAGCCCACTGGGGAGACAATGGGACAGACTCCAAGCCCATCACCACGGTGAGGCAGGAGCATTTGCAGACATGAGCCCCTGTGCCCATGGGACCCCATAGGGGGGCCTGACTTACGGAAGGCTGTGTAGAACTCGTGTAGGCTCAGGGAGCTGTCGCTGTTGTAGTCGTCAAATCGGAGGAGGTCTCCTGGCGTACACCCCAGAAAGTCCCCTTCTAGATTCTGCTCCTTCAACATGTGCTGTGGGGTGAGGAGGGTAAAAGGTCAGAGCCATATTGAGTTCAGTGTCAAGGACATGGTTGGAAAGTGGCTCAGGCCCAGTGGGGGCTTTGGGAAGCTCAATGGGCCTGTGAAACACCCGAAGCTCTTTGGTTTTGTCTTGTCTGATCCTCTCATTTTATAGATGAGGAAACTGAGGCAGAGAGAGACAGAGAGAGGGAGAGAGAGAGAGAGAGAGAGAGAGAGAGACTTTCCCAAGGTCACAAAGTGTTTGGGACAGAGTCTGTACTAGAGCTCATGTCTGTCCTCTCCCTGTCTGGGCAGACAGACCCCCAGCAGTGCAAGATGGGAAGGTCTTTTTTGGCCATTTGGCTTACCTCCTTGTGCTATTGTTGGGGCAAAGAGAAGAGAAGGGGTTTAGGAACCCATCAAAGAGTAGCTGACCTTGGTGTGGTTCCCCTGGCTCCCGTAGCACAAAGCTGATGGTTGTATTTCATTGCTGTACCCTCAGTCCTACCACTTCCAGAGGAGCACCTCCTAGCTGTGGCACCCCCAGAAAGGGGTAGCTACATTCTACTGACCAGGCCCGAGCCGCATTCTACTGGTGGGCCCTCATGGACTCCTTTTCTGATCATGGTCTAGGCTGCAGGAGGCAGACCCCTCCTCCCCAAGCATGGCCAGCCATGCCAAAAGGTAGCTTTGGGTAGAGGTTTCAGGCCTCCCCACTCAGCTGGAGTTGGAGCACAGGAGAATACTCAGAAGGAAATCTCAGAACAGAGGAAATGATTTTATTTTATTTTGAAGGGGAGAGGAAGGCAAAGATGTTTTCTCTTTGCTTAACATTCTCAGCTTGCCCTGTTATATTAAAGGCAATTTAATGTGATAATGTTAAAAAAATGACCCCTTACCCAGCAAGGGAGAGAATTCGATAAAAGGGAGATCAACCATAACGGCTGAGATCAATCTTTCGAAGATGAAAATTTCCCTTTGTCTATTTCTGCATTGCAAATTGATTAACTTTTCATAGGACCGACAGGTTTTTTTCCCCCTGTGCCTTTGATTCGGCATCAAGGGAAAGCCCACCTTAGCTGGGCTTTGCTTGGCAGATTTATGGAATGGACTTTAAATATATTAAATTTTAAAGAGGAAATCATAGTCAAATTACCATGCTTATTAATGGCTTCAGATGCCTCATGCCATGTCTCTGCTAGATTAGAACAACATTCTCAAGGAGGTTCTGTCTACCAGGGAGCTACCTGGGAGCTGCATGGAGCTGGGTGCCAAGTGCCTCTGTCCAAGGCAAGCCGATGTCACCTGCCCTTGTCACTCCCTGCACAGCCTGTACTGTAAGGAACCACCAGGTGGTTCTTCCTGCAGGTAGCTGTAACTAACAGGACCTGGGCTTTTCTAGAGCAGCTCAGGTCACCTATGGGACACTGGCATTGCCCTTTAGGGTCTTAGCCAGAGCAGGGGCCAAGTGCTGACTGAGGTGAAGATTTGCTGGTTCTCTGGAGGCCATGGGCAGCAGGCCTCTTGGGATGCACAGGGTTGCATGTGCTGTGGGTGTAGTGTGGGTGAGCAGAGCAGAGTCATCTGAGATTCCCAAGGTGCGCTCAGGAAGCAGGCTCGGGCCTGGCTGGAACAGAAGGCCTGAGAGCAAGGAGCCTGCGACTCCAGGCTTGAGTCATTGATTCTCACTTGGGTTTTGCAAGTGCTTGCTTTTCCTGCTGACCTTGAGAGGACCATATGGAGCCTCCTGGTGGGAGACACCTGGCGCTGTGGGGAGGGCAGTTGAATGTGTAGCAACATTCCTGGGTTGCACCTGAGTTCCTTCATGTTCAGGCAGTGATCGCAACTAGGGCAAGCTGCTTGATTTGTTAGCATCTCAGTTTCCTCATCTGAAAATATCTGTGAAGTGGGATGACAGGCATCTCTACCTTATAGCAGAGCATGGCTGAAAGATCAAGGAGGAAATAACAAAGACCACGATGATGGCCACTGTTGTCTGTTGTGAACACCCATGTGCCAGGCACTAAGCTAAGCATATCTTTAATCCTATGATGACCCTTTGAGGCTCACAGATGAGAAATGGAGGCCCAGTGCAGTGAGGCCATCCCCTAAGACCCACCAGCTCCTATACATTGGAAGCAGCCCTAGACCTCAGCTTGGCTCTGAAGTTCGTACTTTCAGCCACTGTCCTACATTGCAAGGGACTTGCCCATGCTTACTAGCCACAGGCAAAGGGCCTGGCTCAGTGCCAAGCCAAAGTACTCCCCTCCTCCGTCCTTCACAGTGACCCCCTCACTACCTTGATGAGGTCACTGTACCAAGGTTAAGATTTCTCTGGCATAAATATGGTGACACATCCTTGTCATCTCTGCTCTGGTGGCCACTATAGTTCTCTGAGGAAGAGCTGCCCCCATCCACTCAAGGCACCAGGATGCTGACCTCACTTTCTTGCTTATTTTTGCACCTGGCTGTGGGCCTCCTGGGCCCCAGGCTCTTAGAAGCAAACCAGCAGAGCAGAAGCAGGAATGCAGACTCCTGGGCCCAGGACAGCCTTTCTGCATGAGGACCCCCACCCTGGCCCCAGGGAACGAGGTCAGTCTTTCTTTGCTTTTTGAGCTGCAGATGCTGACAACTCTCACAGCAGCTTGTCGCCGGACCAAGGGGCAACTCTGGGGAGGGACACAAGCCACAGGTTCAATGCAAGTGCTTTTCCAGACAAGTGTTTTTGGGGTGGACTCAGGGCTTCCCGCAAGCAAGAAAGCTGGGGTTTGGGCTGCTGATATTTGGCCACCAAAGAATCGTGTTGTCACCGGGCAGAGGACTTGGGACCCTCCAGGACAGAGCTCCAGAGGTGTTTTCTGGAAACCAAGCACTGCTTCCTTTTGATATTTCTGCTAAGGAAAGCAAAGGACTCAAGGAGGACAAGTTTGGTTTCCTAATTAAAACATCAGCCACCAGCCCCGCGGCAGGAGAGTTTTGCCTGCTGCCAGGCAGAGTGTCACAGTGTGTTTGTAAACAGTGGCTGAAGGCGGCTGGTGGGAAATGAATATAACTTTGTTTGTAAGATGTTCTCAGAGGTGTTGATCACAGACTCTGAGATTCCCGGAAGGGTGGCAGAGTGGCCTCCTGGGGACTCTGTGACAGAGACAGTTGCAACCCACTGTCCTCCCATGATCTCCGTGTCTCTTCTCTGTAGGTGCTGAATGAAAAACTGGATTCCTTTATAACTTGGTTTTCACTGAACGCTGTACCCACCTGAGCCAGTTCAGAGCTGCTGAGGTGGCCGTTCCTATCGGCATCCAAGTCCTTAAACAGAGATTCCACCAGGAGACGCTTTTGGGAAGCAGGGTCCTGCCTGTTTTCCACTTCGTGGAGTGGCTGCTGGTGAGTCTGGAGCGCCAGAAGGACATTCTTCAGGCGGGCATAGCCGGCCATGGTGCACGTGTCGCCTGGAAGAGAAGACGGGGTTGTTACAGCAAGATGTGTCCTTCGATGAGAGAACATTTTCTCCATCATGCTACTCACAGTGGGTCACCAGGCCTTTACTGTGCAGCAAATTGTGCAACTGTAGTAGATGGGACTTGTCTGTCTGTCCACCCATCCAAACTACAAATATTTGTATTTAATAAATGCTGCGTGTGATGCAAATGCCGGAGGGAGCCTGTCTATCCGTCCCATGAATATTTCTCGAGTGCCTACTATAGAGAGCGAGTGCCAGACGGAACAGGAAAATTCTTTCTGCAGAATTTACAGCGGCAGCCCCACAGCAGCTTTAGGAAAGCCGGCCCCCGATTCCATTTGTAATAGCTCACTTTTGTCTTAATCCTACCTTACAGGCTGCTTTTGCATACTTGGCCTCATAGATTAGGGAGTCTTAGTTAACAGGACTAATAAGCCCTGCTTAAGGTAATTAGGTACACTCCCAGAGCTGGATTACTTGAAAACAAACATGTGTACACAAGTCCATGACCAAGAAACAAAAGGAAGCTTTATGAAATTAAATCCGCAGCACACAGCCCATTACTCTTAGGCCTTTTATCACAGGCGTGTTTGCTGAACAGCATCAGAATCGCACCGTGCTTTGGCAAATGAGGCCTGTGATGCACTGTGACACGACATAGTTTATCTTGCTGGTGACGGGCCACTAGGATGAACACCACACAGGGCAAAGCTCATAAACTGGGTCTGCAGGGATATCACCAAGCCGTGCAGTACCTCCTGCCCTGCTTCCCCACCTCCCCGGGGGAGGGAGCTTTTCCTGCTTCTGGCTTTGCCCAATCCACCATCCGGTCCAGGCTGCTGGGAATGGACTTTCTGAGGCTTAGTCATTTCCCCCTTAATTTCAAGACCAGCTCAAGGCATCAGGGAATATAGCTCAGGGTTGGAGACCCAATAGAGAGCAGTGCTAGTGAGCATGGGCTCCAGGGACCAGTGGGTTTGAGTCCAAACTTCACTGCCACTGGACTGCATGACCTGTAGCCTCAGTGACTTCATCTAAGAAGTGGGGATGACAGGGTTCTGGGTTTTGAGGAGTAACTAACATTCACACAAAGGGCTTTGCACTGGTCTGGTACAGAGTAAGGGCTCAAAGAATGGTCGCTACTCTTTCCCTTGTTATTAGATCCACATTTGTTGAAAAGCCACTAACAGGGAAGATGGTGGGAAGGGAAAAGAATGATGGGCGAATCTGCGGGTCTGTTCCTCTCTTCCTCCGGCCCTCTCACTAGACAAGCCTGGGTGTTCTAAACACAGTCTCTTGTATTTGTTTGTGTTTCTAGATTTTCTTCCAATTTGGGGTCAATTGATTCCCATCAGGAACAGATGCCTGTTACCATTTCCTTCTGCATGTTTGTTTAGGAAAAAATCAATTGTTGTGTTCAATATAATCCAATCTATTTGCTCCCTGGGAGTCTCCATGCTCTGTCAAGAATGGTTCTCTCCCATCCCCCTAGCCCTGCTAACACATTTTATTTTATTTATTTTTTGCCTGGTAGGATATTGATTCTTGGAAGTTCTCCGGGTTTCCAGTTGGCAAACCTGGTCCTCAAGTCTGTGCAGCTATGCAGTGTTGAACATGGTGGCCTTGCCCCTCTACCAAGACACTCCTGTCCCTAGGAGGATGGGACTGGTTGCTGGGTTTTTCTTCCTTCTGAGTCCCTCACCACTCCCCCAAAAAGGAGGGAGTCTGGTCCGAGCAAATGGACCACACGTGGGGATATAGAATAGGAATGGGGAAGAAGCTGTGGGGGTGAATGGGGATGGAGTCCCTGCATGACCTAGTGCTGGCTTCCCTGGGGGCGGGCACGTGTACTGAGATGCTGGGAGGCTAGCTGGTGTGCACAGCTGGAGTTAATAGGAGGCTCACCTCAGAAATGCTGCTGGAAATGAAGATTCTAAGAATCTGCCACATCAGAGCCACCTGAAGTTTAGGTCAGGCCGGGTCTGATGGGCTGTGACATCTCATTCTTGCCCAGTCTCTCAACTGTCCTCATGGACTGAGGTGGGGCACAGACTCCTCTGAGCTGCTCAAGGTCCTGTGTCACCAGAGATCTGCAGCTGGACAATGCCACCCACCTTGGCAGGCTGGGGGAGCCATAATGCGGATCCTGCTGAGGCATCTCTGCAGGCTCTGCCCTCCTTTCACGTCTCTGTAGCCCACTGTGAGCTTGTGTGCTTCCAGCTTCTCTACCCTGGCGACTGCCACGTCTAGAAGTCAACCTGGGACTTTGGGGGACAGGTGCCTCAAGTTGCCAGGATCGGTGATCCCTCAGACCAGGCCAGACCCCTCCTATCATTCACCTGCCCTTATTGACGAGCTGTGTGCCAGGCCCTGGGCAGCCCCGTGAGGATTCAGGTGCTTCCAGGGCATGGCATCCTGGGTGTCCCTGGAGGAGAGTGTACGAAGCTAGGATGGGGAAAGCCCTGTGGGGATAATCAGGATGAGACCTGCAGGACGAGGAAGAGTGGTGGGAGAAGGATGAGCAGGGCAGGGTGCTACAGACAGCAGGAATGGCTAGTGGCCAGCATATCTGGATATCTGGAGGTCTGAGAAGGCCAGTGGCTGGAGGTTGTCAGCTGGGGGACAGCGAGACAAAGCAGTGTGGGACAGGGCAGTGGGGCAACTCAGGCAGGACTCCTGGGGCTGTGGGCAAGTGTGGGAGCCAGAGTAGGGGTGTCAGGTCCTGCAGCTCTCAGTTCCAAGCTCCTTTATTTCCTTAACTGAGGGCTTCCCTGTACCAGGTGGCTGCTGGCCACTGGGGTTCTGAGCAAATGCAGGAGGAGTGCCTGGAAGAGAATCTTAAATCCTTCTTCACCCCAGGAGCAGCTGTATTAAAATGAGTCACAAGAGAGGAATTTGTCTAAAATCAAATCATGAAGTCGTTTGTCCAGTATTTCTGATCTTCTCTAGGGTGTCCCAGCAATCCCTGCCATGGTCACCTGAATCCCACAGGGCTGGGGGCCAGTGGAGCAGGGATGGGGGAACATCCTTCCCTGCCCTCTTCCAGCCCCAGAGGCAGATGCCTCCAAATCTGTGGCTTCCAGCTCCATATGAAGGTGAGCTTTCCTCCCTGAGGCAGGCCTTGGCCTGGGGGGGAGTCCACCAAATTCCAGTTTTAGGTTTTTCTTCACAAAGTCCCCAGTTTCACTGTGGGTCAGACAGGAGTGGCTTACCCACATGAAGCATTGGGTACCCGTGACTCTGCTGGACGTAGTCTTTAGCTAGAGGCTCCCTGCTCTGCTTTCAGTTCCAAACAGTTGTCTTGTCATAAAATGAATATATGCCCATCAAAGAGCACTTGGAAAGCACTTATGAGTATCAGTAGAAATAAATAAATATAATAAATCATCCACAATCTATCTCCCAAAGGCGGCTGCTGTCAACACACTGCTGGCCAGAGATTAAGCCATCCCCTCTGCTCAAGTGATGAGGGGCCCACTAGCACAATGAGCTCGTGCACGTGGGCGGCTGGCCTGCTGCATGTGGACTCCGAGGCCTGGGCTCCCTAGCTTCTATTTTCTGACTTTTTTTCCTGCCCTTCTCAAGTTCCTCTCAATTTTGGCAAGAGAGGGTCAATAGCCAAGGGTCACATCTTTCTTGTCTTCTCTTGGGTCATCCCTGCCCACCCACCTGCAAAGTCCACATGGGACTGAGAGGTGGGGCATGGTGGGAGAAGGCCCTTCAGCAGTATTGACCCCCGGAGCATGCTCTGGCTTGGGAGCTTTGCAATTATAGACTCCTTCCTCCATCTGGAATGTTCTTCACCCAAGTCTCTACACAGCTCACTCATTCACTTCATCTTGGCTAAATATCACTGATCTACACCTTCTTCACTATGCCCTGACCCTGTTAGTGGGGGATGGGTGCCTGCGGGGATGGCATGTGGTCTTTCTGGACCAGGGCAGGGTCCAATCTTAGCCTTGGCCTCAGCAGACTTGGCTCCTCCAGGGGGATGTTCCCTGGAGGGTATGCATCATGGGCTTGGGGACCCCAACACCCCTCCCTAGTGCTCCATAGATGTTGACCAGCCTGGTGTTCAGAATAAAATGGGCAACCCGTGGTGTAAAGGCTTAAACTGAGGTCCAGGTACTGTTGCCAGGGACCCTCTGGTCCAGCCTGGGGGAGGGCAGACTCAAATACAGTTAAATGTGCCCACTGATGGATCCAGGGGTGGCATGACTTTACAATGATTTGAGGTCTGTGCCTTGTCATAATAGACTGCTGTGTCTATCTGAGACCAACAATTAGAGACGATTGTCACAGGCTGAACAGAGCACTGACAAGGGAGTCAGGAGACCATTGGACTTGGACTGGCTGTGAGGCCCTAGGCCCCTCACCACCTTACCAGGTCATTACATAAAGAAAAGGTGAGAGGAAGTGTCCCTGTGGCCAGCCATAACCGAGGACTCTCTCTCTTTCTCTCTTCCTCTCCCTCTCTCTCTCTCTGTGGCAATGGGTATAGAACCAAGGCCTCATGCACGCTACATGAGCTATACTCCCTGTCCCCTTTTATTTCCATATTTTCATAGGTACATTATAATTTTACATAATAATGGGGTTCGCTGTTTCATATTCATACATGCACATGATATAACAATATAATATGGTCAATAGCATTCCCCAGTATTTCCCCCTTCCTCCCCCTTCTCCCTTCCCTAGTTCCTTTCCCCGACTTTGTCTCCCTTCTTTGTTTTCATGAGATCTCCCCCACACACCTTTTTAAAAAATTTTTCTTTTCTTTTTCTTCTCTAGCTTCCACAAATGAGAAAACCAAACCAAACCTGTGCCCTTGGCTTTCTGAGTTTGGCTTACTCACTCAAGTTCCATCCATTTTCCTGCAAATGACATAATTTCATTCTTCTTTATGCCCCAGCCCTTTCATTATTTTGATTTTGAGACAGGTTCACTAAGTTGTCCAGGCTGGCCTCGAACCTGTGGTCCTCCTGCCTC